CTTTGAACGGGGAACGTTAGGCTTGGGGGGTAGTAGGTGCCAGGCACAAGGGTTTATGTCAAGAACTGCAACGCTGCTGGGTTTTTCCATGCTCAACAGTTTCCTGTGTGTATCAAGAATGGTCCACCACCCAAAGGACATCCAGCCAACTTGACATAACTGTGGAAAGCATTGGAGTCTACATGGGCCAGCATCCCTGTGGAACACTTTCGACACCTTGTAGAGTCCATGCCCCAACAAATTGAGGCTGTTCTGAGGGCAAACTCAATATTAGGAAGGTGTTCCTAATGTTTTGTACACTCAGTGTATTGAATTCATTCTTTCTCCCTGTAGATTGTTCTGTCAGGTGCTGTTCCGTGAGAGCTCCACCCAGGCCTTTATTTTTCACACACTGTGACGGCCCTGGACCCAATATCAGCTCAGCATCCGAGTCCACAACCCCCAGCCCCTAGGTTACCATGACAACCAGACAGGCGAGGACCTGTCTGCTTTCAGCTCCTATAGATATACCATTACAGCTTGTTCCGCTGATGGATGTGTTACTAGTGCTGAAACACAAATAAAGACTCCCTCCACTGCAGTGGACTCTCCCACCATGACCAGCATCAGAGCCCATAATATCACTGTCTCCTGGACCATTCCATTAATACAGAATGGGGAAGTGACGCAGTACGTGCTGAAGGCCAACGGCGAGGAGGTATACCGTGGGAGGTACTGTACCCCTACCCCGGCCCAAACTCTTCAGCCATCAGCTCCCTCTGGTGTTGGTCCACCCACACTGCAGCCTCTGGGGCCACGACAGGTCAATAGGAGGAGTGGGAGTAGTTAATCAGGTCAGACATGTAGCTACAGTATCTGGTTAAATAGTTAGTAAATACATGTAAATACGCAATTCATATTTTCTATAGTGGTTTGATGAGTTTTTTTCCAGCACATTTAAAATGTTACAAATATTTCAGTGTTCCGAACGACCTCCATTCCTGACACATGTTCTGATACATCGCTGCGATCCTACTGTAGTTTTAATTCTATCACTTTTTCTCACATTGTTATTACTATTGTCAATGGTATATCAGATCTGTAATGTTGAGCTTGTTGTGAAGGTGAGGGTGGACTGGGAGCCCCCAGCAAGGCCTAACAGGGTAATCGTCAGCTACACGGTGTGCCAGAGAGACCCGGCCCTGCCCTCAACACACCGCTTCCTGTATGACCCAGAACACAGCGCCTTCTCTGGCCGCTCCACCACACTGCAGGAGCTCACATCCTACCACAGGTCAGTCACATTAACTAACCCCTGACCTCTAACCTCTAGCCACAGGTGCACAGAGAGAGAGAGATTTTAGATGTATAGAAACCCTTTATTGGAACATTAGCTAAGGTACATGAAGGAGCCAAGGGACAGAGAGGGGGATGGGATGGGACGAGAGAGGAGAGAGGAAGAGAGAGATGGAGGGATGAGAGCAGCGAGAGAGGATGCGAGAGGAGACGAGAGGAGCAGACGAGAGGAGAGAGAGAAGAGAGAGAGAGAGAGAGTATAGAGAGAAGAGAGAGAGAGAGAGGAGAGAGAGGAGAGAGAAGAGAGAGAGAGAGAGAGACGAGAGAGAGACGAGAGAGGAGAGCGAGAGAGAGAGAGAGAGGGGGGAGGGAGGGAGGAGGGAGGGAGGGAGGGAAGGAGGAAGGATTCAACCTTGAGGGAGGGGTCATGTCCCCATCTCTCTTTCCCTGTCCCAGACAAAGGCAGTCGGTCAGACAGGGGGCTGTGTGTGTGTGTGTGTGTGTGTGTATGTGTGTGTGTGTGTGTGTGTGAGTAAGGTGAAATACTGATAAGAGCCAGATAATAAAAGCTCATCAGCTTTATAATCTACAGATCATCAGCACGCCTCTCCGATGACCTTCTCTCCATTCTACTCCCCTCTCTCTCTCTCTCTCTCTCTATCTATCTCTCTGTCTCCCTCTCTCTACTTCTCTCACTCCTTTCTTTTCCCATTTCCCTCTCTCCAAAAGCACTGCATGACAAATACGGAATGACAACATTTATGAGGAAATATGTGTAATATTGTAATATTTAATCATGTTTAATAATTAAGGGTGTGTGTGAGTGTGTGTCTATATCAGGTATGAGGTGAGAGTGGAGGCGTGTACAGAGTCTGTGACTCCAGTGACTGGGTCTCAGTGCTACTGGCCAGACCATGCCACTACTGGAGCTACAGAGAGAAACCAGAGGCCTACAGACCGTCTTCCTGCTCTCCTGGTCCCCCCCAGCCCAGCCCAATGGTAGAGTCCTGCACTATGAGGTCTATAGGAGAACGGGTCAGAACACTGAGGTCCGTGGGAGGCAGCAGCACTGGTGTGTAGGAATGCTTCCACAACGTGTCGTGATGCCGGTCTCCTGCCCTACACTGATTACCAACCAGTACCAGGTACAGAGAATAAAGGTCTGTCCAGCACGGGGGTGGAGAACCACAGTCCACAATGTGTGCACGTTTTATTATCCAGCCCACCACTAACAGAATCAGACTGGAAAGCTCTGTACATTCTATCGGTACTAAAGTTGTTGTCGCTCATCCTCTCACACTCATACTTACACACACACATACTGTACTTTAGACACACACACACATATTGTACTTTACACACACACACACATACATACTGTACGTTACACACACACACACACACACACACACACACACACTCACACTGTACTTTACACACACACGCATACATACTGTACTTTACACACACACACACACACACACACACACACATACATACTGTACTTTAGACACACACACACCCCTCCCTCACACTCAAACCCACTCAGACAGGTGTTGTAATGCTAGTCAATATTAATATGGTGGTTTGTGTGTTGTCGCTAATTGACAGGCTACCCTTTAGAGCACAATAACATTAGCATCCTGCCTGTCAGCCACGCTAGCGGAGGGCAAAGCCACGCTCTAATTGATTGAGTTTACCTGATTGTTCCGTCTTATTTACCAGCCGTAATTTATGACGGGGGGAGGCAGACTGAGAGATGACGGGCGGGCGACAAAGCCATTAATCATTGGCAGACAGAGTGCCCGTCATTACCATCCGGCCAATCGAATTAACCCCCCCCCCCCCCGTATATGGACTTGTATCAGAATTACTTTTTAATGTGTGGGTCCCCAAGGGAGTTGGGGGGGGGGGAGCTATATGTAAGGAGGAGAGAGAGATTGGGGAATTGTTCTACACTAAAGTTTATGTTGTGTGTTTGACTACTAGCTTATATGAAGTGTTTATGTTCATGTACAAATAGTTTGTGAGTAATCCCCATTCATCAAATGAGAGAAGAGACAGAGAGTGTGAGAGGTAATTTCTCCCCAGCAACACAAGGAAGGGCAGAGTCCCACCACAGTACAGAGGGAGATCAAATTAGCTTAATTAGCCAGGGTCTTTATGTTATATTGACAGGTTTATGCCAGACTTTAATTACTGCCCACTTTCACACAACTTACCCTCTGAGCCCGTCTCTACGACGATGACACATCTCCGACAGCCAATCGGAGAGCTCGAACCGAGTCCGTGCGGTGCCGCGCTTCAGCTGACCAATCAGAGGACTCTAACCGAGTCCACGCGGCTTGGGTAGATTTTTGTTGCCATGGCCCCAAAGATGCCATATTTGTATTTTATCTGTAATAACCTGGACTAGATATCTCAGTATGCACGCGGTGTGGATGCCGTAAAATGTCTGTAGCTCATACAAGGACACACAGATATATCTCTAAAGGCAAGACATCTCCTTTCTGTATCTGGGTAGAAATGGCCTATTAAAGACACACAGTGGCAGAGAAGTTGCTTGAACTCTGGTAGCATGTACATCTAAACAGTGTGCCAGTCTTCTTTTCATGTGTTATTAATACAAACACACTACACCAGTGAAAGCTGTTGGAAGCGTGTTACGCTACCTGGAAGTACAGAAAGTGGCCACAACACTGTGCGTTAACGAGGCACAGCTGATTTCATCCCTCATGTTAAAGAGGCAGTCTGCGATTGCTACATTCATTTTTTTTACTTTTAAATTGGTGATTTACACCAAGTACACAAAACAGTTGCACCCACTTTTGCCCTCAGAACAGCCTGAATTAATCGGGACAAGGACTCTACAAGGTGTCGAAAGCATTCCACAGGGATGCTGGCCCATGTTGACGCCAATGCTTCCCACAGTTGTGTCAAGTTGGCTGGTTGTCCTTTGGGTAGTGGACCATTCTTGATATACACAGGAAACTGCTGAGTGTGAAAAACCCAGCAGCGTTGCAGTTCTTGATACATTCAAACCGGTGCACCTGGCACCTACTACCACACCCCGTTCAAAGGCATTGCAATATTTTGCCTTGCCCATTCAACCTCTGAATAGCACTCATACACAATCCATGTCTCAATTGTCTCAAGGCGTCAAAAAAATCCTTCTTTAACCTGTCTCCTCCCCTTCATCTACACTGATTGAAGTGGATTTAACAAGTGACGTCAATAAGGGATCATAGCTTTCACCTGGATTCACCTGGTCAGTCCATGTCATGGAAAGAGCAGGTGTTCCAAATGTTTTGCACACTCAGTGTATACCCATTGATTTTTGAAGAATATAACTTATAAATGCCTCATAAGCTTAGTTCAACTATTGTACCCCATCACAATCCAAATCATAAGCTTTTATTTATAAGCTCATAAGCTTTTATTTAATTTTTAATTTTTTGTTTGTAAAGTTTGTGTTAATGAGATTGAACAGGATCTTAAGCACTTACAAATTCATAACATATTGTACGAATTGGAATTTGTAACATAAACAAATTGCGTAAAAAGTGTTTCATTTAATATTTTTTGCAGGATGTAACATATCATACGAAATGGATGACGTTGTACACAATTTTCAGTGATCCATTTTGGCTCGTGATCACTACTTTCAAAACTACTGGCTGAAATTATACAAAACCTTTATAACACATCTTTAAGTTTTGTATGTGAGTTATGTTAGTTATGACAGAAACCTAATCTCCATGTCACACACACACCCCCTTGACCTTTTCTCCATCTAGGTGACAGGATGACCTTTGACAGACCCCCACTCCCCCCTCCTCTGCTCTCTCCTTCCTGGATGCTGACACTTGGGGAATGGTGTGTGTTGGAATTTGAATGCGTGTGCTCCTCTCTTCTCCTCTCCTTTCTCAGTTCACCTGCATCTCCTCTCAGATCTATCATCCTGATTGATCACGGGGTAATTGGCTATTATTGAGGCTAATTTAACCCTCTCCGCCGCCGCATCCATCTGCCACCTCCACTGCTCCTGACAATCTACAAATGACTTACCCATGCAAATCTCCACCTGCCTGACCCTGAGCTGTGTTCCCCTGTAATTACACTAACACTGCCAGGGAAACAAGATTAGCCTGGTGTGTGAGAGAGAGTGTGTGTTGTGTTGTATGTGTATGTGTGTGATTGTGTGTTTGTGTGTATGTGTGTGTGTGTGTGTGTATGTGTGTGTGTGTGTGTGTGTGTGTTGCTCCTTGATGAAGGTGAAATGTAATTGTCATGTAGATGCGTAGAGAGAGGGGCTGCGTTGGTGAGTACTGAGGTTTGTCTCATTACTGACAACTTTGACTGATGGATGAATCTTGGTCAGAGACAGAGGGATCGGCAGAGAGGGGGGATAGAGGGTAGTGAGGAGGGAGAGAGTTATTTTGAAACTTTTGTGAGTGTAATGTTTACTGTTAATTTCTGATTGTTTATTTCACTTTTGTTTATTATCTATTTCACTTGCTTTGGCAATGTTAGCATACACTGTACAGTGCCTTCGGAAAGTATTCGGCTCAAACACATTAAAAAGGAAAGATATTCCACAAATTAACTTTTAAGAAGGCACACCTGTTATTTGAAATGCATTCCAGGTGACTGACTACCTAATGAAGCTGGTTGAGAGAATGCCAAGAGTGTGCAAAGCTGTCATCAAGGCAAAGGGTGGCTACTTTGAAGAATCTCAAATACAAAATATATTTTGATTTGTTTAACACTTTTTTGATTACTACATGATTCCATATGTGTTATTTCATAGTTTTGATGTCTTCACTATTATTCTACAATGTAGAAAATAGTAAAAAAAAAAAAAAAAAAAACCTTGAATGAGTAGGTGTGTCCAAACCGTTGACTGGTACTGTAATATTTACATTTTGAAATTTTAGTCATTTAGCAGACGCTCTTATCCAGAGCGACATACAGTTAGTGAGTGCATACATTTTCATACCCTTTACTCAGTAATCAGCACCTTTGGCAGCGATTACAGCATCGAGTCTTCTTGGGTATGACGCTACAAGCTAGACACATCTGTATTTGGGGAGTTTTTCCCATTCTTCTTTGCAGATCCTCTCAAGCTCTATCAGGTTGGATGGGGAGCGTTGCTGCACTGCTATTTTCAGGTCTCTCCAGAGATGTCAGATCGGGTTCAAGTCTGTGCTCTGGCTGGACCACTCAAGGACATTCAGAGACTTGTCCCGAAGCCACTCCTGCTTTGTCTTGGCTGTGTGATTAGGGTTGTTGTCCTGTTGGAAGGTGAACCTTTGCCCCAGTCTGAGGTCCTTAGTGTTCTGGAGCAGGTTTTCATCAAGGATCTCTCTGTACTTTGCTCCGTTCATCTTTGCCTCGATCCTGACTAGTCTCCCAGTCCCTGCCTCTGAAAAACATCCCCACAGCATGATGCTGCCACCACCATGCTTCACCGTAGGGATGGTGCCAGGTTTCCTCCAGACATGACGCTTGGCATTCAGGCCAAAGAGTTCAATCTTGGTTTGATCAGACCAGAGAATCTTGTTTCTCATGGTCTGAGAGTCCTTTAGGTGCCTTTTGGAAAACTCCAAGTGGGATGTCATGTGCCTTTTACTGAGGAGTGGCTTCCATCTGGGCACTCTACCATAAAGGCCTGATTGGTGGAGTGCTGCAGAGATGGTTGTCCTTATGGAAAGTTGTCCCATCTCCACAGAGGAACTCTAGAGCTCTGTCAGAGTGACCATCGGGTTCTTGGTCACCTCCCTGACCAAGGCATTTAACCCCTGATTGCTCAGTTTGGCCGGGCGACCAACTCTAGGAAGAGTCTTGGTGGTTCCAAACTTCTTCCATTTAAGAATGATGGAGGCCACTGTGTTCTTGGGGATCTTCAATGCAGGCAGACATTTTTTGGTACCTTTTCCCAGATCTGTGCCTTGACACAATCCTGTCTTGGAGCTCTACGGACAATTCCTTCGACCTCATGGCTTGGTTTTTGCTCTGACATGCACTGTCAACTGTGGGACCTTATATAGACAGGTGTGCCTTTCCAAATCATGTCCAATCAATTGAATTTACCACAGGTGGACTCCAATCAAGTTGTAGAAACATCTCAAGGATGATCAATGGAAACAGGATGCACCTG